AAAAAAAATAAAATGAACAATAATTATTTTTTTTTTTTAACATCACATATGTTAAGTGATCATTATTAAAACTTAACTTAAAACTTAAAACTTAAACTTAAAGTTTTAAGTTTTATTATTGTCTGATCACTTAACATATGTGATGTTAAAAATAAAAATAATTATTGTTCATTTTATTTTTTTTGAGTTCAATAGTGTCATTTTTAATTCATAAACCTTAAGTTAAGCTTTTTATTAAAAATCAAGCACTGAAGATGTTCTAAAATAAAGAACGAAATATCTGCTTCAAATTTCTAAATAAAAGCGTTTTATTGTGGTTTGTCTGATAGCTGAAACATTTTTAATTTCAAAAGTAATTATTTTTGGCGAACACAGTACCGCAGTGTAACTAATCCAAACCCCGTTACTATTGATTCTAAAGACAGGCGGAGTTTAAACACGCCATGATAGCTGCGAGGTCAGTTAAGTCTTGGCTTACCGAGTTGGCGCTATTAAATACCAAATTTTGATATTTATTAACATCGTAGAGTATGTGGAAATTAGTTTTGTTATTAATGTTAATATTATGTTAATATAAAAAATTATGTACTAAAGAAAAACTAGTTAAAAAACTAAATTTAACAAATTGCATTATACTCACAATTGACATGATTGCGTGCAATATTTTTTTATATATTTGCTTAATAATAATATATATTATATAATATGTATATAATATATATAATAAAGACCCTCCATGCGTAGCGTTAAGAAGGTAGTAAGTAATTAAAAATATAATTAATTATTAATTATTATTTTTATAATTAATATTATTGTTATTAATACCCTGATCTTATATAATTTATAAAAATTAATTTGTCAGTTTCAAATTTGCTTGACCCAATCGTCCATACATTTTTCTTGGGCTAATTGAGGTATTATCTTCAATTATTTTTACGAATTTTCTTTCTCGAAGTGGTGATTTCAGTTACAGAATAATAATTGTACTGTCTTTCTATAAGCATTATGTCAATATGTGTTGGACCCTTCAGATTACTTAATATTTTGATTATATTTATTAGTTAGTGAATTGTTCTTTCTTTATAAAACCCTCGCAAAATAATAGCAAACGGTGTTGTGTTGAAATAGATATATATCACATGTCCTTATTATTTGAATTTAAATATACTGAATTTATCTAAAAATCTTCTGTAGTCATCTTTTCTACGTTTACATGGCACTTGTGTTAAAGATATTATTAAAGATATTATTAAAGACATTATATTTATTTCAGTATTCCACTTTTAATTTCTTTCACCCATCTGTAACGTGTCAACTTGGCAGATGGTTTCTCGTAGTCCCCTCAGATCGTCTCAACACACTCTTAATGTGATATAGTTAATATTTCTTGATTTGCATTAAGATTATCATTCGAATCTACTTGTCGCTTAATAACGGGTGACGGAATCTATTCTGGCACATTATTTATTATTGCCGATAAATAAATTGACCATAACATCTATTTGAAGAATCGATCGCGTATAGACTGAATACTTATAAGAACGCAGTAAGTGAAAGTATACTGGTAATGATGTGTACTTTCACTACTACATTTTTATAAGTATGCTGTCCTGTATGTAAACGATTCTTCAAATTGATCTTTTGGTTAATTCATTATTGGCAATATTATTATTTTTCTTTTTAACTTACTTTATTTTTATAAACATTTTACCCTTATGCAATTCTTCACATTAATTGATCCTTTGGTGAATTCCTTAATTGATCCTTTGTTAATATCATTACTTGTCCTTTTCACTTGTTGTGTATAAGCATGTTGGCCTCATGCGATAAAGTCTTTAGATTAACTGATTCTTTGTTTAATTTATTAATGCCGGTATCATTACTAGTATATTTTTACTTACTGAGTTTTTATAAGTATTTTGTCTATATGCGATGGATTCTTCAAATTAATGGATCTTTTTTCTCTCTTGTGTATCACTTTTCTCTTTCATTTACTTTATTTCTATAAGTATTCTATCTTTATGCGATCAATTCTTTAGATTATTGATCCTTTGGTATATTCATTATTATTGATGTCATTACTTGTCTCTTTTACTTACTGTATATTTATTATATATAAGCATTTTGGTCTCATGCGATAAATTCTTCCGATTTATTGATTTATTGGTTAATTTATTATTGTTAATATCATAACTGGTATCCTTTCACTTACTGCATTTTTATTAGCATTCTATTCCTATACTTTCGATTCTTTAGATTAATAGATATTTTGGTTAAGTTATTATTCCGATATGATTACTCTTGCTGAAATGTGGTTTTTATTCATATGTTGTGGTAAAAAGACTAATTAAATAAAAAATAAAATATTTTACAATTTTAAAATTAATTTAAAGATAATAATCATGAAATTATTTGAAATGTTATGTATGTGTGACATACTTTTACTTTGTCTAAGCCAATTACTTTTAGTTTATATCTTTAATGTAAGTTAAAAAGTCACACCAAAAAATTTTCCTCGTCTTTTTCTTCCTTCCTTGTAAATACACTCAGCCAATAAACCATTTCAAGGCCTTCGCAGTTTCCAGATTGAATCTAAAATTTGGTAATTATATGTTCGATGATTTTGACTTTGGAAATGTGTTCAACAGTGATTGGTTGTGTACAGCACCGGATTTGGTTGGACAGTAAGTTAACGGTTTACTAATGTGACTGCGAGTATACCAAAATTTTGGTTAGGAAATACATGAACAAGTTTCGCTTAAAAATTTGCGCAGACTTGTCGCAATTTTAAATGTAAAATTCATAAATTAATTTGAGTTCAATTTTTTGTTTTTATATATCTGTGAGTATTTTAAATTTAATGCCATTAAATAACGCCAACTCAAGGTCATAGCGTTACCAACATCTTGGCCACCAGAAATTTCGGTAAGAACTGTGGTTAGCTAATATTTGAAAAAATCGCTTTAATAATTTTCTCAGTTTGTGTAATTCTATTCATTCACTGTATAATTTTCTATATCTGCTAGTCAAGACCAAACATATCACAATCTACAAACACGGCTTACATTTAACGGATTTGTAAAAACTGCTAACGATCGAGGCCAGAATTTGCAATGTTCACACAGAGTTGTTTGCATTTTCCACTTTTGCGGTTAAACTTTAGTTTTTAGATTTTGGCAAACGGACAGCATTTGTTGTAGATAAATGCATTTTTATTCAGTCTTAATTTATTATTGATGTTAAACATTATTAAGAATTCAATTGTAAAATATTTATTATGAAACTCAAGACATTAGATAAATTTAACACCAAAGAAATACACATTCAATCTTATATTCTTTTTTTCTTTACGGCCATTAAATTTTATAGTTAAATTTCATTAGATCGAAATGGAATGATTAGTTATTATTATTGTTCTTATGAAATCTATCATTAATAACGTTTTTTATAATGGATTTATTATCTTATTTAGTTTAACATATAAACTTAATACAAATCGCAAAATTATAATTCATTGTTTAAAAATCTGCGGTAAGTATTCATAATATGTTCATGACTAACTCCCGATATACATTAGTTCTTCTAAAACATAGAAATATTTCTATGTTTTTGTTTCAATCGTTAAGACTTGTATAGTCTTTCAAACTTAATTTTCGCTAATAAGCCAATTATCTACCAATTATGCTCGATTTGTTACTGATCGATTTATTTATATTTTGACAAAATCATATTTTCTATTAACAACTACTCAGTGTTTATTAAATTTGAACATTAAAAAGTTACTCTTATTACAGACTTTCTATAAGTACATTAAATTTTTGAGATTATTGGATCAAATAAAGAGAAATTTTTGGAGGTTATTACAGGCTTGTGGCGAAGCATAGATTTAAGTAGTAGAAGTTGTGAAGTTGTACAAGTACGTGTGGAAACTGTTGAACAGACAATAAATAATTAAAATCTGTTATATATGTTATGTATATATAACAGATTATATAAATATAAAATTTTGTAGATTCGAAGTTACTCCCAAATAAATATTTAATTCCAAATAAAATATTTTTGATTCTTACCTATGTTATGTTTATAAAAAAAAACTATACTATGTTAACCGTACATTTTTTCATTCAGACGCAATTTAATTCCAGTTTAGGCTTTAAAATGTGTACCAAAATACCAATGGTTTCCGTTGACTTAGTTCTGTATTTTAATGTCATTGCTTTAGATATTTTTAAATTTGTTTTGAATAAAATAAATCATACCACATAATAAAATTTATGACACTTTTGGCTGCAATACTAATTTTTGAATATTTAATGTGCTTCTATTACTTGTTAATTTCAAACAGCCCAGGTTTGTGTACCCAAAGCAGTGCTCTAGTCAACCAATATGTTTATGACACAGTTTTTAAAGTTTAGTTGCAGTTCATTGCAAATATATACTAGTATGTCTCGTTACTTATAAGATTAAGTAATCTCGGATTAGTTAATTTCATTGATTTAGTATATTTTTTTTAGCTTTTCTCTATTTTATTATGGGTTTAATTGGGCTTAAAGGTTATATAAAATTGGTCAAATTTTTTTTTTAATGTTAGAAAATAAAAATTAATAAAAAGAAATCACAATTTATTTTGCAAAAATTTTTATTTGTTTGAGAACTTGACTTTAGTCTAAAGTCAGCATCAGGAAACTAAACATTATATTAAAGCAATCAAATGACCATTGATACAAAGCTTGTGTTCATCAAGGGTAAAGAGTTGTACATCATTTTATTATCACCTCATCCAACCCCACAAGTTTTTCAAAATTTTGACTGTTTCTTCATTGTGGAAAACTTGTCTTTAAAGTAGTATTATATGTTAGTTATAAAGTCAAGATTGCTAAAGTAACGAACAATAAAAAGCCAGTGAGATATTATTACCACTTTAAAAAGATAGTATTTATCTTCTATATATTTACCTCAAAACATTTATATTCGAGTTCACTTTTTCTATTGGATGGTTTAATAATATAAATTATAATAAAAAACTTAATCACTGTATGAAAATCATCCAAACAACCTTATAATATTAAAAAAAATAATAATAACAATTATTCGATTACTGACGATATTCAAGTTAATTAAATCTTTATAAAAATTTAGAAAGATGAAAATTACTGCAACTTAGTTAAAATAGAAAACTCTATATGAAAATTGGAAATATGAAAATGTAACTTACCAGCTCTAATATGTTGTATTATATTATTAATATTGTTGTTATGGGTATAATTATTACTCTGCAAGTTTTAATAAACCTCCTTGAGCGAATTGATTTGTATAAAAAAATGGTAAAATATTAATAATTATAACTAAAACTCAAATACAGGTATAAACTCAAAATTCAAGTTAAAGTTGATAGATACAAACTATATCGATTGGTAGATATTTCTTTAAATGTCAAGTTTATGTCTTACGGAGCTATTCGCACATGATATTAACTTGAAACATAAAATATTCATAAAGCTATTGCAGATGATATAAATAATATAAACAGCAGCGAGGCGTCAGCTTTTTGGCAAGGTGTTCACAATTTGATCAAAACAGAATTCCAACTATAACGTATTCCCCCTACTCCTGAGTTTTGTCCTTTCCACAAGTAAATAGCGTACAAGACCAACGAAACAATTTATTAAATGTTCGCAGCCTGTGATCCACTGGTTTTTATGGTAAATAACTGTAGGAAAACGGCGACTTACCACGGATTTCGACATTTTTACATCAGGTACCAAATTCTTCATATCTGGAGTCGGTCTATTCATTTTATGAATAAAAACCTTTTTTTCAGAAGATCGTTTAAAAAAAAATATTTGAATCAAATTTTTAATCACACATTAATCCATTTCTAAATATTATTTTTCACTTCAAATTTCTTTAATTTTTTTCTTTACTTTTTTGCTAGTATAAAACTTTGATTTGGTTTATTTCCAACCTCTACATAAGAGTAAGAAATTCTCATGCATTCATTTACTCTTTTACTTTGTATTTACTATGCGCGGTTCAGTTTTTTTACTGAACCATTTGGTCATATAAAACGGCAACCGTGACTTTGATTGTATTTGCACGCTTTGTATGAACTTAAAGTTCAGTTTAGTCGACTGAACCTCTAGTCAAATGTAAGCGATTTTCGCTCAGTCATTTCTTTTCTCTTTTGTATTTACTTTGCATAACATTGGTGGTTCACTTTTTTTATTGAACCGCTTGCACGCATTAATTTAAGAGTTATGATTATTTTACGTACATATTCTGCGGGGCTTGTTTTCTCTTTTATTTTTATATTTGTTTGTATGTTTTGTGTTTATTCAATATTGAACATATTCCCAATGTGAATGTTATTTCATTTGCATGCTTTGTAAGCAGCGCGGTGCAGTTTTTATTTTGAACCTTAGTATATTTTACGAGGAATGTGTTTTCTCTTTTATTAATGTTATGTATGTGTGATTTTGTTTGTATTGTACGTTTTGTGTTTATGTTAATCTGTTTGGAAAAGCTATTATAAAAAATGTTAAGTAACAAAATAGCGAGATTATTTACCTAAAAAAAAAAAGATCTTAAAGGAAGCTTTAAAGTGAACACTCTGAACCATTCGACGCCTCGCCTCTGAATATAAACTGTATAAATCTATAGGTACAAATAATATTAGTATATTATAATACAAGTATAAAGTAAGTATATAGTAATTTTTTATTGATATACGATTTAAAATGCAAAAAAAATACGATTCTTATAAAAATAAGAACCAATTAATTTTAATTGCATTTAATTAAATTAATTGCATTTTTTATTATATCAATTGTTTTAATATTTAATTAAATTTAATTTAATTGTAACATTGCTAATATAATTTTTCAAAAAAGATGATAACATTTCTAAGTTACTTATACATTTTAATATAATTGTACATTGCAGTATAGTCTTCAGACGTTTCTTCTTCATAATATATCTTTATCGATTTATTATTCACATAAATAGTTATCTTCAAGCAAAGGAATGAAATGATCGATCAATAAACACTCTTTTAGGCAAAGATTTTTAGGGAAGTAAAATATCATTCAAAACCATTATAAGTAATCCTTAGTAAGACTATTCTTCATATTATTCTACAATTATTTTATATAAAAATTTGAACATTTATTAATATACTTAATCTCACATAATTTTCATATAGCTCAAATAAAGGAACTTACCGTTTGAATTTAAAAAATATTTACAAAATATTTCGATAGCATCTATGGTTAAAATCTATTTTCAATATAAATATGAGTTTAAAATTATAGATATACATATATACGCTTAGAAGTCAGAAAGAAAACGACGGTAAACTATGTGAATCTGTCTAGGCTATAAGTTACTTACATAGTTTTTTAATCCATTAGCGTACCTGCCTGATTCATTTCTATATGGTGTCACGTCATTACTATATGTTTAGACAACCGTGAAATGGAAAATATCATTTTCTTACCGCATTTTTTCAGTTTGTTATTTTGATTAAGAAATTGTTTTAGGTTCTTGAACTGTAATCCATTCTGCTATGTTAATTTCAATTTTCAATTATCAACTACAAAGCTTAATATATACTAGGGTATTAAGTTAATAAAATTTATTATATTAATAGCAATATTTGCATAGGTCTGACTTATGGATAAATAGTTTTTTTTGCAGATTGTAACTGCAGTTTTGACGTGTTTTAGGAGATACACGACCAACAACTTTCACTCTACTTTGATGAAGTTTCGTCTGTTATTTTGACTCTTCCATTTACAAAGTCTATAGTTAATAACCTCTCTGTGATTCTATCCTTGATATACCAGCATCTTTACTAGTTAAACATCTTTCACCGCCGTCCTCGCCTTTTGGTTTTGATAAGTTTAGATTTTTCGATGTTAAGCATATTTAGTTCTATTTTCGTTCTTAATTACTGAGACGGGGATTTTGGAATTTTGACTTTCACTGTCGAATGGGTGGAAACTTCATTATTTCTTTCTTATCATCTTCAGTGATCTCCACTTACCGGAAAGAAAACACTTAAACCACACAGAAGTGCTAACTAACAGCATCAAAAATGAATTGTAGGTTAACAAAATCGAAAATAATACTTAAACTAGAAAGTCTTTGTATAAATATATATATTTTTAAATATTTTAAAAATATGAAATAAAAATGCTAAAAAAAATATATGAAACGAGAAATATTTTATGTATAAAAAAAAGGCATAAAATTGTTTAAAAGTTTAAAAAAAATTTCGTTTTTGTTTTAATTGCTAATACCCGATGTTTATGGAATTGTTTAGTGGTATATATAATAGCAGAGTCAACAGAGTAAGCAGTCATTGAAAATATTGGTGGTGCTGTTATGTGCCTATAGTTTAAAAAATGTGGGTGTAGTTATTGTTGTATGGGCAAAATTTTTTCTTATGATTTTATAGCTTGTTGTTGTAAAAATGCAAAAGTTTATTAAACTTATTATATTATTGCAATTTATTATTTGGTTTTAATTCGTTTCTTTGAAATATGTCAAAATTTTAATTAAAATTTGTGAGATATCGCCTTATGTTAAATGACCCACATTGCATATATACAACATATAAAAAATGTCTGCATTTCTTTCTATGGTATATGTAAAGGAACATTTTTTTATATTTTTTTAAAAATTGGCATAAAAATGTTAAAAAAAAATTAAAATCTTTGTTAAATAAAACAGAATAATTAAAAATCTACACAAAGAAGGCATTTATATATCCAGTGGTGTATTCGGGGAATTAAGGGGATGATCTCCGGTTGACAATATAAGGTGAAGATACTAAAAATTATATAATTCTAATATATATTTTTGTTTTTATATTTTAGTACTAATATTAACCAGAAATTTCGATAATTTTAGTTTTTGAGCAAGGAGTGTGTAATAGCAGCGCTGTTCACTTAATTCGAATAATTTGATATTCGAAATATTCAAATTTCATTGAAATATTTGAATTTTTCTTTTATATACGAATTTGTGTCGAAATATTCGAATATTTCTGTTATATTCGAATATTCAAACTATTTGAATTGTTCGAATACGAACAACACTAGTTGGTAGGAATGATGCAAGCAAAAATCACCAACAAAGACTTAAATATCTCGTTGAAATATAGTAAATAAGTAGTGAACTTTAGTTAGCTCGTCCTTTTTTACAACTTAAGCAGATGAGACAATATTTATTCCAAAAATTAAAAATAAACTTCATATGAGTGTGTACATATATATATATTTCAGATTGAACGGTGTGAAAATATTCATTATAAAATTTGTTATTCGTTGTAGGATTTGTTAATCCGTATAAGATCTATTAATAATTAAGAGTATTCAAATGTAAAGTGATAAAATTAAATGTTTATTAGTTTATATCAAGTTACGTTTTAGAGTTAACGAATTGCTGAGGCATCAGATCTGTAAGTTTTTTTTTTTAATGGTAATTTTTTCTTGCCGAGAGTGACGCGTCTTTAAGACGAAAAAAAACTATTTAAAAGTTAGACAGATTCGAATAGTAAAGAAAAGACAAGGACAAAAATGTTGTTTAATTTATTAAAATTTGGCTGACCATACAACGCTGTTTCGAGTATTTCCAAGTACTCATCAACAGTGGTCTTAGGAAATATTCGAATTTCTTAATTAGTTTATAGTCTGTATATAGGACTGTAAGTACTCGTGTGTGTCCAATTCGAAGCGAAGACTAATCGTGTAAAACTTGTATTTAATTTAAAATTTGAAGTACTTGAAAAGAAATTAGTAATGAAATAAAAGCAAAAATAAAAATTTAAATGAAAGAACAATTTTTATTTAATATTAAATTTTTTTTCCAGTGTTTTTTACAATTTTCTTGCTATATACTCAAAAAAAAAAGAATCAAAATCAGCTGCTTTCGCAGTTTTATTTTACAACTTTACCGAGAAAGAATTAAAAGGAAGGTTGAAACGTTTGTCATTTTATCACTTTACCAAATTCAAGTGAGAGAGTAAAGTCTAAATATCTCTATTATAAAATTTATAGTATACCATTGATTAAATTTTAATTATATAGAAATCAAATGCAATGAAAATGTTTTTGTATAGTAAAATAATGCTCCGATAAGTGTATTTGAAAAAATCTCTTAAAAATGACACCAATTAGGATATTATTTTCTACAAATAGATAAGTATTTACATACACATGTATGTATTTATATTAATAAATGACTCTAGGTATTATAGTTAATTTATTCAACTGCAAAAAAATTTCGACAAAAACATTTTTTAATATAACAACTCTTTTTCGCCCTTGCCAAAATCTTGACTCCGCCACTGTATATATCAAATTTGGTAACTTAACCAACTTGAATAAATTTTTTTTAACAATTTGCATTTAATAAAACAAAGATTTCTGTCATAAAAATTCAAAACCATGTTTAATATTAATTAATAAATTTTAAAAATAATTTTTTTTATTGCTGACTAAATAAATAAATACCCATAAGCTTAAAAGAAGAAAAATCTCTGCAAACTTGCATCACGAAGTACTAAAATTTTATCGACGTAGTCCGACATAAAAATTATTTATTTCTATAACTTTATTAATATATATGCATGCAATTATATGACTACATGCATAAGTAGGTATTGTATCTGTTGGTACTGTATTTTTTACAGCAATCGGTTAGTAATTTTTTTTAGACATGCAGCCTTAAAGCAAATTTATAAGATTTAGGTACTTCTTTTATGTGTGTTTTATCTGTTTTTGTTAATAAATGTTCATTAAATTAAAGATTTGTAATCAATTTATGTATATTAAGTAAGTAACAAGTTATGGGTTTTTAGTTAATTTTTATTACTCAAACTACTTTAATGGTTTGCTTTAGTAATCTCTGCAGAGCAGTGACCTACACAATTTTTAATTTAATTTGTTACATATCAATATATTTTATCTTTTCTATATTGTAAATACAATAAATACGAAATAGTCACTGAATCTATGACTTTTGTTTTAATGTATGGTCTTAATCTTAATCTTAATGTATGGTGCAGGGACTTGGATTATGAAAATATCTGATGAAAGCTTATAAGATTATAATTTTTTTTATAGTTATACCCATTATAATTGGAGGATTTGGAAATTGACTAGTTCCTTTAATATTAAGTGCTCCAGATATAGCTTTTCCACGAATAAATAATATAAGATTTTGATTATTACCTCCATCATTAACTCTTCGAACGCAAGATTATACGTCGCATATTTGGTCCAATTAGAGACGAATATGGCACCTATTGGCCAAAATAGGGCTAAAAAAACCAGCACTAAGCTGGATAAGCATAGATAACCCAACAAAAAAATTATTCAATATGCACCAGAAGAAAGAAAGAAAAGAGGGCGTCCGAGTTTACGCTGGATGGACAATGTGGATCCAACCGCGCAACAGCTTGGAAGAAGAAACTAAAGAATGATAGCAAATGAGAGAGATACGTGGAGGAATTTTGAAAGTGAGGCCAAGATTCAACTAGGATCGTTGAATCTAATGATGATGCTACTAATAATGATGATGAAAAAAAATCTTATACAAACAAATTTACTTTTTTACAAATACTAACCAATTTCTTTATAAAATAGTTGTAGTCAGTTTTATATCTTGTAAACATTTATTTTAGTGACGCATTAACCAAATAAAACAAATTTATATAAAACTTATTTAACATATTAAATGGTATAAAACTAAACAAAACTACAAAGTTCAAAGAAATACAACAGTCTATTAACTTTTACATTCTATTAAAAAAAAGAAATGGTTAATCAATATTCAATTTTCTAAATGATCCGTCAATGCCAAAGAGAGTTTCACTATTTATTTTTTTACCAATTCTTAATTTTTCATCTACTCCATACTTTGTCTCTTCCATGAAGTAATTATTAAAGTCTAAAAGTTTTTTTTCCATATCTGCTTGAATCTCCGGTATAGAACCATTGATACCACCATATTCAATTGGTAGATTCTCCTTTGGTATTACTTTATAAAGATCTTCTAGGCTTTTATGAATGAAAAACTGTTAAAAAGTATCAATGAACAAAAAAATATTATCTTTAATATCTAAATGTTATTTACAATATTTAATTAAATATATATACTTACTCGTTGCTTTAGTTTTTCACTTAAAAAACTTCTTACAATGCTTAATATTGCTAAGGTTTCCTTTGGACAATTAACGAAATGAAATCCTTTCACGCGCATTGGCTCTGCTTTATCAATAAAAATCACTAGCTTTTTTACAAAAATTGGATTAAATTGTTTTACAAATGTCAAGTGTAATTTGGAGAAATCCAGAATATGAATCAAACCACTTATAATACCATTATCATCCGTATTTATTTCAAATTCACTAACCAGTATATAATAGCGAAACAAAGTACTTAAGAGATATTTATTTGGATCCACATTTTTATAAACTGCTAAATGTACACGTTGGCCACCAATACCACCAAGTGGATTCGGGAGTGCTACAAAATAGCTTAAATTAAAAATGAAAAATGAAAAATCTTTAAATTATATGTAACATATAATCTTACCCTAAACGTCCAAGTTCAATAAATTCTTCATTCATATAAAAATTAGTAAATATTTCAGGCATTAAGGCTTTGATTGTATAATAAAAATCTATTTTAGATTTAGCTTTTTCCATACTATATTTACAGCCTCTTAAAAAAGTTACTAAAAATTGGTCATCTGTACGAGCCCTCAAATGTGGTTGTTTTTGGATCCATGTTCTTAGTGTTGAAATATCTTCAACTATACGACTCTCAACTTCATTTAACTCATTCTTGGCAATTGCTTTTAATTCTTCATTTAGTGGTCGTATTTCAGTCATATTAAGATAAAAATGTCACATCTATACTCAAGAAAGAACAATTTTCAACTGACAGAGAGACCTTTAAATGGATTTTACCATATGTTATACGTATGTTATAACATTGTTCTTTCTAATTGTTCAATTATTTATTTTTTATTGTTTTTTTATGTTATGTGTTTTGAATTTATCCATTTATTTATTTGTTTAAACTTAATACTTAATAAAGTGTGTATATAATTAATAATTAGAATAACAATTGAATATCAGATATATAATGATTACTTATAATTACAGTTTTTGCTTAATTATTTAAACAATTCTTATAGAATGTAGTGTAAAAAGTGTAATATAATAATAAAGTGTAATGCAGTGCAAAACTTTGTTGTAAAATAAAAACTTAAAAATGAAAAAATTGAATATGAAAATTTCTTTACTATCATCTCCTTTCCTATTCGAAATAGATTTGCTATCATAAAACAAAACTCAGTGAAAAAATATATTAGAGACAGAGCTCTAAAATTATTCAGTAAAGTTGATACGCTACTTAACCACGCCCTAATAATTCTCAAATCCTCTTCTGGACTCTCAGGAGGATATGCTGATTTAAGGTCCGTCATTAACTAAAAGACAAATAAATGACATGATTTCTTAGCCTAGTTAAAGCCTTGTGTGGGGAAGAGATAAGCCCCCAGCCATTATAGAGTAAAAGTGAGTAATAGCACTATAATTCAAGAAAAAGAATCAAGAATCAAGATTATTGGAGTAATCTCTTATTTTTATTTTATAGAATTAATTTTAATTTTAAAATTTAAAGTAAAGAATTTATTTTATTTAAAATATATATATATTTCGTATTTATCCTTTCTGGTAATATATGTTATTACTATAATCAAATTATTGCTTGTCTGTTTAGCTTTTTTAAATAACTTGATGTTAAATTAGGTTAAAAATTCTCTTTATAACGAGATATATGTTAATGTATATAAAAATTACAATTTTCATCGATAAACTATTTTGCATTTCATTTGGATTTATTAATAAATTTCTTAATACTCCTATATAAAATTTTATGAAATATTTAATGAAAGTTTCATCTGAAATATCATTCATAATATCAGTAGTCATGTTATAAAAGACCAAAATAAATATATATTCTACTGAAATGCTAAGATCCATACAATAGCATTTAAGCTAAGATATTTCTTTTAGTTCTTCAAATCTTTAATGATACGAACTAGAGACGAGGTTAGCTGAATTGCATTAGATCCATTGAAGGGCTATGTTCATTTTTAATACTTGTGAAACTTTACTAGGTATCTACAAACCGATTGCCCTAATGTGTGCTCCGTTATTAGTTTATATAGGTATATAGTAATTGAGAGATAGCACGATCTGTGGACATTTCTTGTTGAATAGTCTTTCTTTGCCAATGCAAAACTGAGTGTTGCAATGTGCTTTTGTTTGACTGTAACTCTCTTTCATCATACATTATCATAACAAATTATACATAACAAATTATAATCTTTTAAAAATAGAAATATTATCAAAGACTGCACTAAAATATCTAAAATTAAATTTGGTAAAATACTAGACTTTTGCCTGAAGGACAATAATTATCTCAATTTTAACAAACAATTGTACTAACAGGTGTTCGATAAATGCTTGGCAAATCCTTTGATTTCTGCTATAACAGATATAGCATTAAACAAAATTCTAGACGAAAATCTTGACATTTTTACTCTTTGATAGCTAAGGGGTTTCTGCAGAGTTCCACCCTTCTCACTGATTAATTTATATATTCCTCAAAAGCTTTGTGTTTATGACTGATTTAAAATTTGCGTACCGCAATGAAAAAAGTTTGTCCAGCACAGGTGATTCTAGTAATATTCTTTGTCATGTAGACGCACTCGGGAAATCGATTTGACTATTGATATGATATTGATGCAATTTACTACTATGGGCAACTTTTTCCATTACCTTCTTTGGTTCAAGAGTTATAAATTCTCACATGAAAATTACAATATAAAAAGCTTATAACTTTAAAAATCGGTCTTGTCACCTTTATATTTAATTCTATAATTAGATCAGCCCCATTATTATTTTTAATTATTTGTTAAGAATCTTTGATTATTTATTTTGTCCATTCATTATTTATTGACTTTGATTATGTAATCAATAATTCAATAATAATAATTAACCAATAATAATAATAATATTCTAGTTTTTTTGTGATAATCACAGATTGATTAACGTCATTTGTTGGAGACGCAATTAGTGAGTTTTTATTTTTATTAATGCATTTTTAGTTTAAAGTGAAATAATAGGTTAACGAAGGACTCAATTATTCCTTAATAGAAATTACTTCATTACTTTGTGTAAGTTATATATATACAGTGAATCAGACCCTATTTCGTGTTTTGGAACATTAAACATTTAATATTATTTATATATATTTATGATATAAATTTATGTGATGGGAATGGTAACACACCTTGAATAATTACAGGACTAATCAGCGATTAAAGTTAACTAAGAGTAAAAAAAATCTGTCCTAAAGTCTGACATAGTGGGAAAATTTACTTTTAATATTACATTTAACCAAAATCCTTTGTTAAATCTAGACGCCAGATATTTGCAATCTACCCAATTCAATTTATTAAAAAACACTAAATAGTAAGAAAAAAAACCAAACGAAGAAAGAATATTCAGTTGTTCGTTTTTGATAATTATATTTCTTGAATATTTCAGTTGGATTGAATAAAGAATGTTATTAGTTCTTTTTTATATAAAACACAAAAAAATATTTTGATAAGTGTTTATAATCAATCAAATTGTCTTATATTATTGATAACTACTTTACATAATAAAATTTGGTGAGAATTGTAGTTTAGTAAAGTTACAAACCTTTTACAAGTGTTATAAAATTAAATCGCTTCCATGAAACGAATATTCCTGTAGACCTTCTATTTTAACAAAACCACTTTTAATCAATATTTAATTTTCGAAAGGATCCATCAATGCCAAAGAGAGTTTCACTATTTACCTTTTTACCAATTCTTAATTTTTCATTCACGCCATACTGTGTCTCTTCAATGAAATAATTATTAAAATCTAAAAGTTTCTTTTCCATATCTGCTTTAATCTCCGGTATAGAACCATTGGTGCCACCATATTCAATTGGTAGATTCTCCTTTGGTATTACTTTATAAAGATCTTCTAGACTTTTGTGAATGAAAAACTGTTAAAAGATATTAACAAAAAATGAATAATATATTTTTTATTAATAATATTAATAATAATAAATAATATTTAAATAATATTTTTGCTTACTCGTTGTTTTAGTTTTTCATTTAGAAAACTTCTCACAATGTTTAAAAACACTGCTCCTTTCTGTGGACAATTAACGATGTGTAATCCTTTGTTGCGCAATGGCTCCGCTTTATCAAGAAAAACTGATATTTTTTTTAAAAATATTGGATTAAATTCTTTTATGAATGCTGGCTTGTATTTGGAGTAATCCACAATTTTAACAAAACCATTTATGATACCAGTATCATCCATATTTATCTCAAACTCATGAACTATTGTATGATATCGAAAATATTGTTTTAAACTGTTTTTATTTGGATCTAGATTTGTAAAGTTTGTTAGGTATATACGTGGGCCACCGATGCCGCCAAGTGGCTTTGGAAGTACTAAAAAGCAACTTAAGTTAAATATAAAGAATATGAAAATTATAAATGTGTTACATATATATTGGTTACAAATCTATTATCTTACCCTAAGCGTGCAAATTCAACGAATTCTTCAGTCATTTGAAGATTAACAAATATTTCAGGTAATAACGCTTTGATAGTATAGTAATAGTCAATTTTTGATTTAGCTTTTTCGATACTATATTTGCAGCCTCTAAGAAATGTTACTAAAAATTGGTCATCTGTACGAGCCCTCAAATGTGGTTGTTTTTGGATCCATGTTCTTAGTGTTGAAATATCTTCAACTATACGACTCTCAACTTCATTTAACTCATTCTTGGCAATTGCTTTTAATTCTTCATTTAGTGGTCGTATTTCAGTCATATTAAGATAAAAATATCACATCTATACTCAAGAAAGAACGATTTTCAACTGGCAGAGAGGCCTTTAAACTGTTTTATAGCATATATATGAATGTTTAAATATTATTCCTTCTAATTATTTAATTACCTCTTTTTTATTGTGTTTTTTGTAAGTGTTGAATTTAGTTACTTATTAATTTGTTTAAACCTAATAAAATATAATACTTATATACAGATACTTAATAAAGTGTGTATATAATTCATAGTTAGAATAACAATTGAAGATAAAATAGAAAATGATTACTTATAATTACAGTTTTTGTTTAATTACTTAAACAATTCTTTTAGAATGCAGAGCAAAAAAATTATAATTTTTATAAAAAATTTAAAATTAAAAAGTTTTACGCTGCCCAACTCCGCCCTAACAAACCTTAAGTTCACCTCTGGACCCACAGGATGATATGCTGACCTACGGTTCGACATCAATTAAAAGATATATAAACGATATGAATTCCTGCATAGTTAAAGTCTAGTGTGGGGCAGGGATAAGCCTCCCAGCCACAAAAGAGTAAAAGTACGCAATAGCACTAACTCAAGAAACCACAACAACGACAACAATATCAAAATTTCCTTACTGTCATATTTCTTTCTAATTGAAATATATTTCCTATCATAAAATATAAATAATTTTAAATTAAGAAAATATATATTCTATATATCTTATATAATTATGCAATTATATATTATTAAATTTAAAAGAAGCAATTAGTTTTTTTTAAAAAAGTATATTTTTATCACCTATAGTCACTCTATTCTCGTAATATAACAGATATAGTAAAAACGAAATTGAAGGCTTATTTATCATAGTTACAATAATCCGATTTAGGTCAAATATACGCTATTTTGCTCGATACTGTATTTCCATTTTTAAGAGTAATTTCATTATGCCTCGCTTATAAAAGTCATCGTCCTTATTAGCAAAAGATTGAGACAGTTGAATTATACAAGCCTCTCTTGAAGCGAAGATTTTCACGAAAAAAATCATTCGTCACCAAATTCTCGGAACTTTTGGCCAGTCATTATTGATGTATGTGGCCTGATGTTGTCCTGATGAAACACAATTCTTCTCCTAATGCTCAAAAGTGGCAGTTCCTGTGCGATTGTTTCCTTCAGGCGGTCGAATTGTTAGCCGTACAGCTCCAAGTTAAGAGTTTTGTGATAGGGGAGCATTTCATAGTAGATAATTCTCTGCAAATCCCACCAAACCTTCATCAAAACCTTTCTGGCCGTTTCAGGAAACTTGTCGCGATTTGACCATGACCATTTTCACTTGACGTTGTCGTAAGTGATCCTGATCCACTTTTCATTACCAACTGCTTTAGAAATGGGTCGATTTTGTTGCGATTCGCAGATGGATATTTGGTCTACGAGGTTTTTTTGCGTTAACTCGTATGGCAGACCCACATCGAGCTTTTTTTTGTATCCAAAGGGACAAATTGCTAGACTTTTGTTATTATAGGTATTTATTATTATATAAAGTGTAAATTTTAAACAAGTTGTTATATTAAAAAAAGAAAGATTTTGGGGACAGGATTGTGAATAAAATGGCCTAGATCAGTTATATATATTATCTGTAAAAAATAAACATTTTAAACATTCTTACTTCTTGTCTGAACATGTTTGACTAGTTTGTTTTTTTTTTGACTTGTTTTTTATATTTTCTTCTTCTATAATTTCTTTTTTCGGAAATATATTTTGTAATTTTCCTTATTAACTTAGTTAAAAAACATGAAAGCTCATTGTAAATTAAATAAATTGTTTTAATGAAAGCAATGGGAACATAATGTAAGACCACATAAATAATTTAAAAGAAACGTTTAAGCCGTCGCCATTGAGCACTTCGCTTGAATAATGAAGATGCTTCAACATTAACATGATATAAAAGTCTTTGTTTATGTTCTTGGTTTATTTTTTGACTACATTGATAATGATTAAAATATTGAGATTGTGATGGAAGAGTCAGAATTTCCTATATAATATGGAGTATTGACTCTCAGTCATAAAACTTTGTATTAAAAGTGCTGAATTAATGCAATAATGTTTTCGAAAGTACACATTTATAGTTGTATATAACATAGTTTTTATATAACAGAAGTTTGTTTTGTATAAGCATTATCGGGTGCCTACCGATGCGAAAATATATTTTGTTCAGTCTTAACTGAAGTCAGTCGTGCCTCTCTCACATGCGTCTTCCAACGCAATTTCGCATGAAGCGTTCTATCGAGATATCTAGCTCGACTGTATATGGTGTATTTGAACCATTGATGTGTATGGACTTAAAAGCTATTATTTTCTAATGTGATATTGATGTGTATTGTCTTAGTGTTATTAAGCTTCAAGTTCCACGTTTCTGTTCATTGCAAAGCTAACTGCCAATTGCAACTCACTCCTTGTTGCTTCAAGCGTTTTTTTCCCTGTTATGATGTAGTAATATATTAGTTATAAGATAGCAATTCAGATGTATACAATAAATAAAAAGTGGAAGCGAGGACAGTACCTTTGGGTATACCAGCGTTTATACTTCTTAAATCGAAATAAGACAATAATATGCTACAGTCTTGTTTTGATAAAATACTTAAATAACTTTAAAATTTATATTATTAAATTAAGTATTAAATAAAAAAAAATATTACAAAAAATTACATTTTTAATATTTTTATTTAATTATCATATAGTTCACACTATATGTGAATAAAGAGTGGTTTTGATTTTCTTTTATCTAAATATGAATAACAATTCTGAATAGTTTCTTTAAGCAATCTGATTTGATTTCTTTAGTAAATTAAATTAGATAAATAAATGTGAAAATAAACAAAAATTATTGAAGAAAGTAAATTATTTTTAATAACCTCAGTTATTAATTTCTTATAAATCGTGTAAAATTTCAATAACAAAAAAGTTAATCAATATTTAATTTTCGAAATGATCCGTCAATGCCAAACAGAGTTTCACTATTTATCTTTTTACCAATTCTTAATTCTTCATCCACTCCATACTTCGTCTCTTCCATGAAGTAATTATTAAAGTCTAAAAGTTTTTTTTCCATATCTGCTTGAATCTCCGGTATAGAACCATTGGTACCACCATATTCAATTGGTAGATTCTCCTTTGGTATTACTTTATAAAGATCTTCTAGGCTTTTGTGAATGAAAAACTGTTAAAAGATATTAACAAAAAATGTATGATATATTTTTTATTAATAATATTAATAATAATAAATAATATTTAAATAATATTTTTGCTTACTCGTTGTTTTAGTTTTTCATTTAGAAAACTTCTCGCAATGTTTAAAAACGCTGCTCCTTCCTTTGGACAATTAAGAAAGTGGAATCCTTTCATGCGCAGTGGCTGCGCCTTATTGTAAAAAGTTATTAATTTTTTAGAATATATTGGATCAAATTCCTTTAAAATTGCTTTGTTAAGTTTGGACAAATCCACAATTTCAGTCACACCACTAATGGCACAATTGTCGTCCATATTTATCTCAAACATATTAATCAGTGTTTGATATTGTAGCATATCAACTAAATGGTGTTTATTTGGATCTAAATTCTTATAAATTGTTAGATGTATACGATGGCCGCCCATTCCGCCAAGGGGCTTCGGAAGCACTACAAAGCAACTAAATTTAAAAATAAAATTTATGAATTAAAATTATAAGAGTGCGTTACGTACGTAACATACTTGTCACAAATCTATTATCTTACCCTGCACGTCCAAATTGAATAATTTTTTCATTCACTTGAAGATTCGTACACAATTCAGGCAATAACGATCCGATAGTATAGTAATAGTCAATTTTTGATTTAGCTTTTTCCATACTATATTTACAGCCTCTTAAAAAAGTTACTAAAAATTGGTCATCCGTACGAGCCCTCAAATGTGGTTGTTTTTGGATCCATGTTCTTAGTGTTGAAATATCTTCAACTATACGACTCTCAACTTCATTTAACTCGTTCTTGGCAATTGCTTTTAATTCTTCATTTAGTGGTCGTATTTCAGTCATATTAAGATAAAAATGTCACATCTATACTCAAGAAAGAACAATTTTCAACTGACAGAGAGACCTTTAAATGGATTTTACCATATGTTATACGTATGTTATAACATTGTTCTTTCTAATTGTTCAATTATTTATTTTTTATTGTTTTTTTATGTTATGTGTTTTGAATTTATCCATTTATTTATTTGTTTAAACTTAATACTTAATAAAGTGTGTATATAATTAATAATTAGAATAACAATTGAATATCAGATATATAATGATTACTTATAATTACAGTTTTTGCTTAATTATTTAAACAATTCTTATAGAATGTAGTGTAAAAAGTGTAATATAATAATAAAGTGTAATGCAGTCCAAAACAAAAAAATGAAAAAATTGAATATGAAAATTTCTTTACTATCATCTCCTTTCCTATTCGAAATAGATTTGCTATCATAAAACAAAACTCAGTGAAAAAATATATTAGAGACAGAGCTCTAAAATTATTCAGTAAAGTTGATACGCTACTTAACCACGCCCTAATAATCCTCAAATCCTCTTCTGGACTCTCAGGAGGATATGCTGATTTAAGGTCCGTCATTAACTAAAAGACAAATAAATGACATGATTTCTTAGCCTAGTTAAAGCCTTGTGTGGGGAAGAGATAAGCCCCCAGCCATTATAGAGTAAAAGTGAGTAATAGCACTATAATTCAAGAAAAAGAATCAAGAATCAAGATTATTGGAGTAATCTCTTATTTTTATTTTATAGAATTAATTTTAATTTTAAAATTTAAGGTAAAGAATTTATTTTATTTAAACTATTTATTTTTCGTATTTATCCTTTCTGGTAATATATGTTATTACTATAATCAAATTATTGCTTGTCTGTTTAGCTTTTTTAAATAACTTGATGTTAAATTAGGTTAAAAATTCTCTTTATAACGAGATATATGTTAATGTATATAAAAATTACAATTTTCATCGATAAACTATTTTGCATTTTATTTTGATTTATTAATAAATTTCTTAATACTCCTATATAAAATTTTATGAAATATTTAATGAAAGTTTCATCTGAAATATCATTCATAATATCAGTAGTCATGTTATAAAAGACCAAAATAAATATATATTCTACTGAAATGCTAAGATCCATACAATAGCATTTAAGCTAAGATATTTCTTTTAGTTCTTCAAATCTTTAATGATACGAACTAGAGACGAGGTTAGCTGAATTGCATTAGATCCATTGAAGGGCTATGTTCATTTTTAGTACTTGTGAAACTTTACTAGGTATCTACAAACCGATTGCCCTAATGTGTGCTCCGTTATTAGTTTATATAGGTATATAGTAATTGAGAGATAGCACGATCTGTGGACATTTCTTGTTGAATAGTCTTTTTGTTTGACTGTAACTCTCTTTCATCATACATTATCATAACAAATTATACATAACAAATTATAATCTTTTAAAAATAGAAATATTATCAAAGACTGCACTAAAATATCTAAAATTAAATTTGGTAAAATACTAGACTTTTGCCTGAAGGACAATAATTATCTCAATTTTAACAAACAATTGTACTAACAGGTGTTCGATAAATGCTTGGCAAATCCTTTGATTTCTGCTATAACAGATATAGCATTAAACAAAATTCTAGACGAAAATCTTGACATTTTTACTCTTTGATAGCTAAGGGGTTTCTGCAGAGTTCCACCCTTCTTACTGATTAATTTATATATTCCTCAAAAGCTTTGTGTTTATGACTGATCTAAAATTTGCGTACCGCAATGAAAAAAGTTTGTCCAGCACAGGTGATTCTAGTAATATTCTTTGTCATGTAGACGCACTCGGGAAATCGATTTGACTATTGATATGATATTGATGCAATTTACTACTATGGGCAACTTTTTCCATTACCTTCTTTGGTTCAAGAGTTATAAATTCTCACATGAAAATTACAATATAAAAAGCTTATAACTTTAAAAATCGGTCTTGTCACCTTTATATTTAATTCTATAATTAGATCAGCCCCATTATTATTTTTAATTATTTGTTAAGAATCTTTGATTATTTATTTTGTCCATTCATTATTTATTGACTTTGATTATGTAATCAATGATTACGCAATATTCTAGTAAAAATCACAGATTGATTAACCTCATATTAACGTCATTTGTTGGAGAGGCAATTAGTGAGTTTTTATTTTTATTAATGCATTTTTAGTTTAAAATAAAATAATAAGTTAAGGAAGGATTCAAGTATAGAAATTACTTTAAATTTTGTGTAAGTTATATATATATATAGGGAATCACACCCTTTTTCGTGTTTTGGAACATTAAACATTTAACATTATTTATATGATATAAATTTATGTGATGGGAATGGTATCACATCTTGAATAATTACAGGACTAATCAGCGATTAAAGTTAACTAAGAGTAAAAAAAATCTGTCCTAAAGTCTGACATAGTGGGAAAATTTACTTTTAATATTACATTTAACCAAAATCCTTTGTTAAATCTAGACGCCAGATATTTGCAATCTACCCAATTCAATTTATTAAAAAACACTAAATAGTAAGAAAAAAAACCAAACGAAGAAAGAATATTCAGTTGTTCGTTTTTGATAATTATATTTCATGAATATTTCAGTTGGATTGAATAAAGAATGTTAGTTCTTTTTTATATAAAACACAAAAAAATATTTTGATAAGTGTTTATAATCAATCAAATTGTCTTATATTATTGATAAGTACTTTACATAATAAAATTTGGTGAGAATTGTAGTTTAGTAAAGTTACAAACCTTTTACAAGTGTTATAAAATTAAATCGCTTCCATGAAACGAATATTCCTGTAGACCTTCTATTTTAACAAAACCACTTTTAATCAATATTTAATTTTCGAAATGATCCATCAATGCCAAAGAGAGTTTCACTATTTACCTTTTTACCAATTCTTAATTTTTCATCCACGCCATACTGTGTCTCTTCAATGAAATAATTATTAAAATCTAAAAGTTTCTTTTCCATATCTGCTGTAATCTCCGATATAGAACCATTGGTGCCACCATATTCAATTGGTAGATTCTCCTTTGGTATTACTTTATAAAGATCTTCTAGACTTTTGTGAATGAAAAGCTGTTAAAAGATATTAACAAGAAATGAATAATATATTTTTTATTAATAATATTTATAATAATAAATAATATTTAAATAATATTTTTGCTTACTCGTTGTTTTTGTTTTTCATTTAGAAAAGTCCTCACAATGTTTAAAAACACTGTTCCTTCCTTTGAAGGATTAACGATGTGTAATCCTTTTATGCGTATCGGCACCGCTTTATCAAGAAAAACTAATAATTTTTTTAAAAATATTGGATTAAATTCTTTTATGAACGCTGGGTTGTATTTGGAGTAATCCACAATTTCAACAAAACCATTTATAATACCAGTATCATCCATATTTATCTCAAACTCATGAACTATTGTATGATATCGAAAATATTGTTTTAAACTGTTTTTATTTGGATCTAAATTTGTAAAGTTTGTTAGGTATATACGTGGGCCACCGATGCCGCCAAGTGGCTTTGGAAGTACTAAAAAGCAACTTAAGTTAAAAATAAAAAATATGAAAATTATAAATGTGTTACATATGTATTAGTTACAAATCTATTATCTTACCCTAAGCGTGCAAATTCAACAAATTCTTCAGTCATTTGAAGATTAACAAACATTTCAGGTATTAACGCTTTGATAGTATAGTAATAGTCAATTTTTGATTTAGCTTTTTCCATACTATATTTACAGCCTCTTAAAAAAGTTACTAAAAATTGGTCATCCGTACGAGCCCTCAAATGTGGTTGTTTTTGGATCCATGTTCTTAGTGTTGAAATATCTTCAACTATACGACTCTCAACTTCATTTAACTCGTTCTTGGCAATTGCTTTTAATTCTTCATTTAGTGGTCGTATTTCAGTCATATTAAGATAAAAATGTCACATCTATACTCAAGAATGAACGATTTTCAACTGACAGA